TAAAAGTACAGTGTGTAACATTTAGGAGGATCTAATGGCAGAAATTGAATATAATTTTATTGTCCATTGATGTTCTGGCTTTTCCACTGTGATAAGAAGAAAAAGGTTTCAACAGCTTCCGTTCCACACATGATCAGAGTAACTATTGATCTGAAAACCAAAGCCATACGGTGGTCTGATAAATCTGCACAAACCGTAATGCAACAACAGTAAAACAATGTATTTCAAACAATGTATTTCGAGCCCCACACCTGTGTTGGTCTTGCAGCCGCTGACTTTGACGAGCCTGACCTGATTGGAGGCGACATTGCCATCAAGCCTGAGGCCAGCAGAAATGCTGATCCCTGCACCTCCAGAGGCTGCCTGTGGCAAAAGTGGTCTGATGGAAAAGTGTACATCCCCTACTACATTGCCAATCACTACTGTAAGCACTGGTTGTTTTATTTAGATTCAGTTTTATAGGGACAGATTTACTTGATTACTTTATAGTCACAGCTAATTTACATGGACTTGCCTTTAATTATTTTATACAAATACATGTCTCTTTGTGATTAGATTAATAAATTAAAAACACCATATGTATCTAATAGAAAACAATCACCCTTTTAAATCTAATCTAATGTATTAAATTGTATGAAGGCAAAATACATCTTCTCAGCTTTTTATACATATGTATAATTATTGATATACAGGTGTTTTAAGCTATAATTAGTTACTTCACTTAAGATTTTACATACAAATCATAAAATGAATTTATAAATTATGTATTATCTTGGTTAAAAGGAGACCACCTCCATCACAGCCAACTGCTACTTACACATCAATGTATGGTTATTGCAATATTTTCTTTTGTGATACTGTATTGATTCCAAAAACTCTAGATAGCAATGTTGTAAATGTAAACTGAGAGCTCTGATGTTGGATGTTACAGGGACTCGGTAGAAATGCAGATCCCATTATTCTGGTTGAACAAAAAAAAATTACTTTTATTTATTCATTTACTCTTTGAAGAATGTGAAAAGGCTACATTGCTGCAGATAAACCTAACCTGCCATATTTGTCCTGCCAGCCTCCCGTGAAGTTGCCATCATCACTCGTGGACTAGAGTCTTTCTCTTCAGTTTCCTGCATCCGTTTCAGACCCTACCAGAACGGTGACCATGAGTGGCTGAGCATCGAGTCCAGGAACGGGTAAGATTCTGGCTGTATATTTCATAACTCAAAAGCAGAGTTTGAACATAAACACTGACTACTTGACTGACTAGTTCTAACTTCAACAATTTAAATATTGTGTATCGTACATGGATCAAATCTCTGTCTCACTGTCTTTACCAAGAAATATTGAGTTGCCTATTGCAGCTTTAAAGCACCTCAGTCCTCCCTTTCATTCACTTATACTAATGAAAAAACATAGAATATTCATGTTTGGATAGAAAAGATCTGACAGAATGGAACTTACAACCCAATGCACATTTGTTACATCACTATTCTACAAGGATCAAAGAACAACACTGCCTTTTACATCTTCACATGGCGAATATTTTGTTTGATTTCTGCTGCTGACAGACTGCTCTATGTTTATGTGTCAACAGCTGCTATTCCTACGTGGGCCGTCAGGGTGGTGGTCAGACTGTGTCTCTGAGCCGTCAGGGCTGTCTGTACCACGGCACCGTCCAGCACGAGCTGCTCCACGCCCTTGGCTTTAACCATGAACAGACTCGCTCCGACAGGGACAACCACATCAAGGTGTACTGGGAAAACATCATCGATGGTTAGACTGTTTCACCATCTATTACATTTCTTGTATTTTTAGTCTTAAGAACAATACATGTTTAAACTGATTAATGAAGGATTATCATAGATTTATTGGGTAAACAGGTACACACGTATTTGATTACTATGCATTGTTACAGAGTATAGCTACACCAAATGTGGTGCTTTTGTTTTTTACTGGTATTTTTAGATGTGAAGCCTCTCTAGGAGGTGAAACTCACTCACTTACACAATAAGGTAGGAAGGCAAAAGCAGAATGGATGAGAGGGAAAGCTGAATGCCCGTACTGTGCTACCTATTATTCACTCACTGTCGTCCCAGTCTACATGCGTGTGAAATTTGGAATCATCCATTTCATTCTAAAATGATGGCTAAAACCCTATTTTGAGGTCACAGTGACCTTTTGACGTTGAAAAGTGCCACACTGTTGGTGTCTGACCAACAGTGACACAAAATGAATTCTGTCAGGTCACAGTGACCTTTGACCACCACATTCTAACAACAGTTGAGTTGTCAGTCCGCAGCAACTAACATGTTAAAACACCAGAGTCAAAGTGGGTCAGAAAGTGCTGTCTGATGACTGGTACTCCTGTCTGCTGCTCCAAACTGGGGGCGCACTGACCACCATGTACTGTAGAAGAAACATAGATTTTAGTTACTCTTTAAATTCTACTTATTGTAGTTGCTGCTGTATATCACTGCAAAGTGTCTGCAAGGTCACCATATTGGAGAGCTCAAGATCTGCTTGTAAACAATATAATGTGTACTGAGATATTAAAAGATGCACACTCTCACTACAAAATAACTGCTGTGATGGCACTGCAGTAGGGCTACTGTTGTGTGCACTCACATTATATTTGGTTATGTTTATATATATATATATACTTTAGATATAATTATATATATATATATAAAATTCAAGTCTTCTGAACTTACTATAAAAGCGTAAATGTCTGTGACATTTATATTTTCTTTCACCTCTGCAGGCATGGCGTACAACTTTGACAAGATTAACACTCTGAACCAGGGAACTCCTTATGACTACAACTCTGTGATGCAATATGAGAAGTATGGATAACCTTATTTGTGTAATTTACTTTAATACATTTACATTGATAATTCACCTCTCAGTGCCTTATAAGTTCCTGACTACTATCATGTAAGCAGTGTATGCTCCTACTGCATATGAGCTATTGCTACACATAGCAGGCAAATTGCTCAGTTAAGTCAGAGCTTGCGTTCTGGTTGACTTTGGGAGTCCCATTGTCTGTACTGGCCAGGACAAGAGTTTGTTTATCTCGGACTCTGTGAAAGTAGCATAACCAAAGTGAATCTGTTTTTAACATTAAAGAGCTAGAATTGCTCAAACCGAAGCTCAACCAGCTTTGCATTGTTCCATCTGTGATTCTACAGGTATGCCTTCTCCAAGAACAACCTTCCCACTATGATGCCCATTCCCAACAGCAATGTGTCCTTTGGCCAGGCCACCCAGATGAGCCAGAATGATATTGACAGGCTGAACAGGCTGTACAAGTGCTGTAAGTATTCTGCAGCTTAGCTGGGTGGGAGACAAAACATTACACACAGAGTCACAGTAAAATCCTATTGACAGCAAAGACATTTCACTGCAGTCCCTCAAAACTGTGTAAAAGTGGACCAGTACAGTATACAGTACAGTGTAACATTTTTTGCGTACATTCATTCCTCATGTCTATACTGGCCATGATGAGATTCCTTCCTGAAGTGCTTCCAATGTAAGTGATGGGGAACAAAATTCAAAGTCCTTGTTTTGTGCAAAAATGAGATAAACAGATCAAGTAGGGATTCACTGGCTATTATCTGATGATGATTTTGATTCTGGGAGCAAACCAGTTAAAAGCTAAATCATTGTCAGATGATTGCTAATGGCTTCCAAGTTTGCATTTCAGCCAATACGTTCCACCTCTTTTACTCTCCACACAGACCATTTACCTGAATGGAACCAAAACCTGCTCAAATGTGATTGGCCAATATTACTCTGACTACAAATGGAAACCAGAATTCTTCTGAGTGTGAATCTGTAGGCAACAGATTCTGCATTCATATGCAGATTTGTCCACTATGAACACTTAAATTGGAAACACATAAAGAAGCAATGTCTTCACATTCACAAAGGACACGGGGGAAAAACAAAAACTCTTTCTATGTACATGTGGACAAATTAGTATTGTTTTAGACTTAATAAAATGTGAACCTGTTAAAGTCAACATCAGTGGAATACTCACCCAGCTAGCATCTATCAATCCCACTTCTGCACTCACCCTCCAAAAATGCTCCCCTAATGACACGCATTTTCTTTGCAGAAACTGCATGTGACCTTTTACCTGCCGCCCTGATGAAGGAGACGAGGGTTTCGGGTAGATGGCAGTTCGGGTTTTCGTGCTGTAAAAATAAACCTGCAAACTTCAAAAGTATTAAAAGCTGATTGACTGTTTAATGAAATAGCAAAGAACATAAATTCTGGAGACGTTCATGAGACACTTGATCTTTTTTTACTTTCTCATCATTTCATTAAAAAAATCAATCATTAGTGTAAACAGTTTGATGGCTTCTGAGCAAAAATAATGCCTACAATTAGTAGCAACAACAATCCACCGTCAGTGTATCCTTATATTTAACAAACAGATGCCAAAGTTGTTTTGATCTTCTTATTTAACTCTCCGCCAGAGGTCTACATTCATATATCTAGTGGCTGGATGCTAATGAAAATCACAGGACTTTTAAGAGGTGGCATTGAACACAGAAGTACAGCCATTATATTGGAGTCAGTATCAAACAGGTCCCTGTATCATCTTTTCCCTCGAAAATGTCAAAAACCTGCTACCTGCTTTTTACAATGGCAGAAAACTGAAAAAAAAAAAAATCATCTAAAAATGGCACTGATTACAATAAATTAGTTGGAATTAAGATGCCACATGTAGATACAATTTACATTTTAATATAATGTGTAAAAATGATTTCCTGTAGTAGGCAGAAGTAGCTTCTGATATATGTCCACCACCACCTGCGGAAGTCTCCATTTCAGTTGCATTATCATTATTTGGTAAATGAGATTGCATCAAGTTCATTTCTTTGTTTTCATCTTCAGATAAAAAAAATAAAATATCCTATCTGTCCTTTAAACACACTTTCTCTGGTGTATGTTTCAATCAAGTCGATTTATTCACATCAAAAAAGATGATTTTGCATAATTTCATATAGACGTGTATATAACTTTCTTGAAAATGGATTTCTTTAAATCACAGCTTTCGTTTCCATTCCCCAAAGTTAATCTCAGTCTCTGATCTGATTTTCTGCAAGCCTTTTCTCCACTTTATCAGCAGTCAGGTTGAACTGGCAGGCTCTCAGGGCTTTTATCAGCTCCTCTGTTCGGGCCTCGGCTCTTTGAATCTTCCTCCACTCTTTCAGCAGCTCGATCACCGTCTCATCTAGTTCTGTGGGATGTCTCTTGGAGATGGACTCCAGCTTAACTTCACTCAAACCCAGTTTGCGGCCCAGTTTACGCCAATTCTTTCCCAGGTTCTCTGAGATCACATTGGTGGCAATATCCAGTTTGTCTGAAGGAGGATACAAGGTTGAGGGTTAAAAAAGAAAAATCTTCTTAATTTTAGGAAACAATTAACATTAAAACAAACCATCTTTATGGAAAAAATAAAACACACAAACATCTTCCACAGGCCAACAGTGAGATTTGGCAGCTAACTGGAACAATTGAGAACAGGCCATAACTAATTTAGTGAATTTACATGTCACTTACAGTGACTCACAGTCCAATACAATAATGTCATTGTCATTGTCATTAAGTGTTAATATAACAGCTGAAATCCCTTTCGTATTTTGTATTTTGTGTCTCATACCCTGGCCACAGACAATACTTGTTTTTGATTGGCTGGCAAGTCTCTTTTAAATCAGATAGCTCAAATATTAGTTTTAGTCAACAGTTAGTTTATTATATTTGAAAATTTAGCTAGATGATATTGGCCTGTTTGTTGCAGATGTTGGTTTATAAGCAACAAGAAATTGCAGAACAGCAGAGGTTTTCAAACTGTGAAGCTCCTCACGGGGCCTCCTGTTAACCATGATATTGCCGACACTGCTCTCAGACCTTCAGGTGTTGATATTTGTTTGACATATGTAGATCAGATACTGTTATTTATATAAACTGCAAACACCAACATTAATAAACTAGGTATGGAATATAAGCCTAACTTAACTGCCCACAAGTAACATTTTGTCGTCCTGTTGAAAGCTGCCAGGTGTCAGTCATAGATTGTTTGTAAATGGTAAATGGTAAATGGACCTGTACTTGTATAGCGCCTTTCTAGTCTTCCGGACCACTCAAAGCACTTTTACACTA